CGATTATTATGGAAATGCAAAAAATAAATATATATATATATATATATATATATATACTTAAAAAGAAATAGTTATTTAAATTAGAGCCCGACCGATATATCGTTTTGCCGATTTTATCAGCCGATATGAGCCTGTCGCAGATATAACGGTATCGGAGAATATGCCGCCGATATGCCACTGATATGAACATTTTTTTTACAGAACATAAAATGGTGTAATTACTTAGTTTGTCCAGCAGAGCGCGCTCCATTGTTTGCTACTGGCGACCTAGATGAAACGCTTCAACGTTTGGACACACGAATGGGAAAGTGTCCAAACTTTTGATTGGTACTGTACTAGAATATACACAAAGAATATCGGCCGATATATCGATATCGGCGGGTTTTTACTCCCTAATATTGGTATCGGTATCAGCCCCCAAAAACCCATATCGGTCGGGCTCTAATTTAAATGTACCTGCTTATCTTGTTTAAAGCACAAACAAGTCAAAAACAAGTGAAAAAATCTGCCAATGCAACACTTATATTTTCTGAACACAAACCCTAATATCTTAAAGGTTTTTGCATCTCAAGTAATTTTATCTTGTTATTATGATGTTTAAATAATAAGAAATCAAGAATAATGTAAAATAAGGTGTTTTTTTTGCACTCTGTTACTTGAACACTGTAAAAATGTTTCTCTTCCGGAGAAAATCAACCATTATCAGTTCTATTTTAGTATTTTTTTTGTTGTTGTTGGTGTTGTATTAATTATAGTATTTATAAATATTTTGAATTACCTTATGCTTTTAGATTTCATTTTAATTTTAGTTTACATTTTGTTATGTGCTTTTGCCATTTTATTATTATTTTTTAAATCTATCTTTAATTATATTTTGAGCTTTTACTTTGTTTTAATTTTTGTTTTTGCGATTTCGTTTTTTAAATGTTGCTTTAATTTATTTGTATTTCAGTTTTAGGTTTAGTCATTTTTTTCCTTTTCACTTTTTCACATCTTTAATGTCAAGTGTTTCTCTTCCAGAGAAAATCAACCATTAGCAGTGCTATTTTAGTATATTTTTAGTATTTATTAATATTTTGAATTACCTTTTACTTTTTTTAGGTTTCATTTTAATTTTAGTAATTTTGTTATGTGCTTTTGTCATTTTATTATTATTTTTTAAATCTATCTTTAATTATATTTGTAGCTTTTACTTTGTTTTTACAGTTTTCATTTTAATTTTACTTTGTTTTTGTGATTTCGTTTTTTAAATATTGCTTTAATTTATTTGTATTTCAGTCATTTTTTTTCCTTTTCACTTTTTCACATCTTTAATGTAAAAGTGTTTCTCTTCCAGATAAAATCAGCCATTAGCAGTGCTATTTTAGTATATTTTTAGTTTTTTAATTACAGTATTTCTTAATATTTTGAATTATCTTTTACTTTTTTTAGGTTTCATTTTAATTTTAGTAATTTTGTTATGTGCTTTTGTCATTTTATTATTATTTTTGAAATCTATCTTTAATTATATTTTGAGCTTTTACTTTGTTTTTACAGTTTTCATTTTAATTTTAGTTTTTGTGATTTAGTTTTTTTAAATATTGCTTTAATTTATTTGTATTTCAGCAATATTTTTCCTTTTCACTTTTTCGCATTTTTAATGTTTAAGTTTCCTTTAAATGCGTGTTTTACATCTAATATTTATATATTATTTTATTTAATTTCAGCTTTATTTCAGTTAACGAATCAGCAAAGCATTATGGCATGATTTCCTGTAGTTTTAGTTGTATTTGTCCTCATCTCAGACCCCATGCAGAAGGCGGTGCATGCTCTGGAGAAGCAGTATGTGGAGGAGAAGCGTGTGGCGCTGGAGGAGCAGCGGCTGATGTATGAGCGCGAGCTCCAGTCTCTGCGGCAGCAGCTCTCGCCGGAGAAAGCGTCTCAGCACCAGCGCTGCAGCAGCTTCCCCACACACAACACACACACCAAACTGCGCCTGTGGACCGACGAGAGGTCAGAACGCAGACACATTCTGGAGCAACCTGGTTTTTATTTTACATTCTTGTATGTGAAATAAATGCAGTGCATTATGGGATTTAGTTCATGGCTATGGATGCATGTGATGCTGCGTTAGCAGTAGTTGATGCACAAGTATCTTAAAAGGCAACATAGTCATGCCGCCTGCGTTTTGAAACAGCCTTCAGGTTGTGTTGACTTAAAATAATACCTAGGTAGGCAGCTCACTAGGTTTTGGACTAGACTCGACTCACAATTGATTTCAGTATAGTTGACATTGACATGTGATGCTATACTGTAAAATGCATAAAAATACCCCAAACCAATTAACTTTTTAATAGATGCTTTAGTATTAAAGGAGAATTATTTAATCAATAATATTATATTATTTTAATATAAATTATAAACATATATACATATATATAAATTATAAATGTATATTTATAATCATTATTTCTCCTGCTTTGTATTTATTCACTGAGCTTGTCACAATCTGTATTTTAATATCATTGAGGTACTATTATCGTTTTTATGGATATTTTGAATTATTTTTATATTTTCCATTTAAATTTTTAATTTTAGAAATGTAGCTGTTTTTTGTTGTTGTTATGTTTTTTTTTTTTTTATTT